GGAGCCGGCTGGCCTCACGGCCTCACGGCCTCACTCCCTCACTCCCCCTTGCTACGCGGTCTGTTCAGAGGACAGGGACTCAGATGCCCCAGCTCCTTCTACAACCCCGAGCACGTTCTTAATGGCCGGACACTGGACAGTGGCTCACCTGGGAGCCCCCCCTGCCACTACTACTCCCTGAGCAGCCGGGGGGCCCGGCCCCTGCCAGCAGAACCTGTGACCTGTTACCTTCTGGTAAAGCTGAGCTCACCCCAGCTACTTCCTTGAGATACTGAATTTCTTGCTCATTATAGTGTTTTAATCAAAAGACTGAGATTCCTTTTTTAAAGGGATTTCATGCTTCATTTTTTTTTCCTGTTCTGTCTCCAGAGGCAAAAAGGGGTAAGTGCAAACAACCTCTCCTCGGAGCCCCACCCGGTTCAGACATTCCTGCCCTGGTGCCCACCCTCCCCCCCCACTCCCTCCCGCCTTCCCTCCATCCCAGCCAGAGAGCTGACATCCAACAGCTGCACTAATCTCTCCCAGTTGCTGGGAGCAACAGTGAGGGCCCTGTGACAGGGCCCTGGCTGGTGGCGGGCGGCAGCTTGCCCTCCCCACACCCAGGAATCCACCAGACTGCACACCGCGTCCCGACACCCTGCCCGGACTGTTCGAGCAACCAGTGTGGCGTGAAGTCAGGGCAGGTCTGAAGCACTTCACAGAGGGCAGCTTGCGGTGAGTGCAGAAGCTGGTGGCCCCCTGGGCTTCGGAACAGCCCAAGTCCCGGAGAGGACCCCCAGGCAAGGTGGACAGGGGGCTTCCTGAGAAAGTGCCGCCAAATTCCAGGACATGTCCCCCATCCCCCTCCCCGCCGCCAGCACTGTTCTCAAACCTGCCCCCACCTGGCCAAGCCGCAGACCCCTGGGACTCCTAAACACAGATACTGATGAACGTTTTCTACACTTTCCTTATTTTTAGGAGGACAGTTAAGCGTGGGACCCATGCCATGTGGATTTGTCTGAGGGGCTCCCTGCGGGTAGTGGCGGTGGGTAGGGGGAGGTGGTGCAGTGAAGGGAGCCAAACATTCCTTGGAACGCCGGAGAATCCAGAAGGAAGATGGTTTTGGCACCTCCCTCACCACCCAGACGAGGGGGTGGCTTTCAGCCTGGCCCGCAGGCCTGCAGCAGCTGCTTCCCTGCACGGTGCAGGTACAGGACAAGCCCACCGACAGCAGGGCGGGCGTGCCTGTCGGGGCTCACTCCTGCTCCTGACCCAGATTCCAGACAACCAAGATCACGGACTCGATCAGACCCGGGAGAGCCTCCACTGGGAGGAAACAGGGAGATACCTCCACATTCAGCGTAAAATGTCACGGGAAGCTTCACATCGGCAGCATCAGGCTCCCTCTGCACTGACAACAAGCAACCTGTTGTCCTTCCCTGAACGTATCCCTTTTGCCATGTTTTATAACCGTCCGTTTCCTTGTTTTCCGACTAGCCCTTGAGGGGCTCTGCCTCCAACATCTCTGTTGTGTTGCTTTTTTTTTTTTTCCCTTCAAGTCTGGTCAAGTGCCCGGCACATGATGAACGCTCAATCATTTGGATACATTTTAAGTGAAATAATTTCAAAATGATGTATCACCTGCCCTCCTTTCATCAAGAAGCCATCTAAGATTATACAATAACTTCTGCTGAATTTTGCCCTCAGCAGCAGCCACCAGGGAGCGGCGGCAAGCAGCCAGCTGTCGCCCCTCCTGGCCCTGCCCCTGCGGGCCCAAGACAAGCCCCCACCTCCCACCTGTGTGCGCACACACACAGGAACGGGGGCCTCCACTGCCACGCTACGGCCTCGCCGCCCTCCCTGCTGTCGTGGGCCTGTCCCGACCTGCACCTGTGCGCCGCTGAACCGTGTCTGCCTCAAACCGAGAAGGGCTGCGACAGCAGCACCCACCCCGAACGGCAAAGACTCTGTACATAGACGGGAATGTAAAACATAAAACACATCACTGACGATTCTTGCACTGATCACATGCTGACATTCTGTTTTGGGATCACCGGTGTAACGAGCGAAGAAGCACGATCAGTCGTCCACTTCTTCCTACCTTTTAAAAGGCGACCGCCAGAAAATTTAAGACGCTCCATCCATCACGCCTGATTCCAAATGCCGGCTCTCCATCGGCACCCCCTTGTCTGGGGGACTGTGGGGTCACTGCCGGTCATGCCAGGGCACAGGCGACGGCCCCACCACTCAGAGCTAGAACCCCTGCAAGCGGCTTCCTGCCTTTCTTCTGCTCCACGCTGATGCATGCTCCGTTAGTTTGAAGCAGGGAGGAATGGAGGACAGCCTCGGCATTTACAGGAGTTTGGATTCCTAACACTTTTTATTAAGGGACTGCGGGCACCTTGCCAGCTCTGGGGATGGGCCGGGGGTGGTCAGGGCAGGAGCACGAGAAGCCAACAGCTGTTTTGAGTTATAATCTTTCTGTTTAAACTGGTAGCATCCCACTGTGGTTCTGCTGCTGTTGGGGTTTGCAAATGGAGCTGGTGTCTATTTTAGCTCTGGGTTAACAAGCAGTCTCTCCCACCAGCTACTGTCACAGTTCACTGCCTGGTTGGGCCCCGCTGGCTCATGCCTGCCCCCACGGCCTCCTCTGATAGCAGGCGATTATGTGGAACAGCAGAGCAGAGAGGAGAAGAGGGAAATTAACTATGTTCTATAATCAAGTCCCTTTGGTTTCCAGATGCAGGCCCCACCCCACAGAGCAGCAGCCCCCAGACAGGGGATGGCTTGCTCCTCCCCACCGCCCCCTGCCCAACAAAGGATGCGCTGCAGGCACAGCATCCAGGGGCTCCCGTGGGGTGGAAGGCTGCCGGGAGGGGCGGAGCCCCCACCAGGCTACAGAGCTCCTCCGGCCAACCCCTCGCTGGACACAGGGCATTATTCCTGAGCAGGCAAGGAAAACAAGCAGGACGTGAGGTTCAAGTTCACAGCACATCTGCCTTGTCAGCCCTGGGGTCACGGCAAGTGAATTACCCACCAGGCTGTGCAGAATGGGACAGCCAGCGACCGATGCGCTTCCCATCCCCTCCTGAGTAGCAAGCCCAGCCTGTCCCTGGGGCCGGTGCCCGTCTGGGAGGCCCTGCTGGAGAACCCACACCCTCATCCAGGCCACCATATAAGAAGGGGACACCTGAACTTCCACTCTCTCGGCTATACATTGTGCCATATAGGCTCTAGGTGCTCAAAAATCTCTCGCAAGAGTCAAATTATTTTCCCTGTAGGACAGGATTATCTAGAAGGGGGCAAATGGGTAGTTCCTAAGATGATATCTGATCCCAGACTAAAACACACAGAGAAGCTCAGAGACAGGCAGTGTGTTCACTTTCCGCAGCGCTCGGTCACATGGCTGTTTCGCAGGAATGTGGGGCAGGGGTTGGGGTCCCACGTGCAATTGCTGTCTCTGCCCATGACTCACCACATGAGGCTTTACCTCTGTCTGCTCAGGTCCTCAGTCGAGAAAGCTATTTCGATATTCACCACCCACTGCAAGCCCACATCCTGGGGATGCTGTGGACGTTAATGAAACCATTAACGTTTCTGAATCTCTCAGGACTATAGGGCCTGCCAAAGGAAGAGCCAAGTGCTTCTTCTTGGTGGACAGAAGGACAGCTGTTAAAGAGACCGACCCCTAAAATTTAAGCTTGAAAAGGAACACGGGGATTATCTGGTCCAATTCCCCCTTCTGGGGTTCACATATGGCCGATCCAGGTCCCAGGGGAGAGGGATGCAATCCAGGATCTGACCACCAGCCCACGCCCTCTCCTACACAGCCAGCCCAGCGTGCAATTTCCCAGAGATGGGGGAGTTATGAAAAGACATTTTGTAGCACTTCAATTGCTCAGCAGTTTTAACTCTTCATAAATTCTTTTTTTCTCCAAATGGAAAAAATGTCAAGCTGATGTGATTAAGTAGAATGATATCTGACATGGCTTTAAGTTACCATATGGTGAGGCTTTCCCTCAACACAAAAGTCTTTTTAGCCTGCTCAGACCTCTTCACTCCCAAGTCACACCAAACATGTGTCCCGAGGAAGGGAATCCGGTCCACGGATCGGTGGGTCCCACAGGTGCCCAGCCTTCGACACTCCCAAGCTGCCTTCCGAAACCCCGAGCTGTAGGCATGCATGCATTCACTCCTGCTCGGGGCGAGCCTTCAGCGGCGCCTTGCAGGATACCACTTTCCAGTCTTGTGGCTCCCCTGTGGCACCTGGTTCCTCCCAGGGCTTATAAGCTATGGCAGTAGCATTTTAAAAGTGGCAATTCTGTAGGAAAGCCTGCCGTGTCCAGGCCATCTGCAGCCCCGCACCGAGAGCTGCTGGAAAGTCCTATCACCATCCACCTTTGCTGCCGGGATAGGCGGAGGACCAGGGAACTCAGAGGCAGCAGAGACCTAAAATGCAACCTAGACCAGCAGAACAATCACCTCTCACTGTCTTCCTGGGACAGGCTTCATGTCAGGTCGAGTGTCTGGCAAGAAGCAGAACTCTTCTGAACCCAAAATGCCTTTTCAGGTTTCTGCATTACTCGTCCAAAGCAGCTGAAACAAAAAGTCCTTAGCCTGCTGCTGCTGCTGGGCAGCTGGTACGCCCTTCCGTCCTTACCACACACTCGTGCACAGCTAACGAGCATCTGGACTGCAACACCTCTTGTGTTACAGAAAATGTGCGTGCTGCTCAAAAGCCCCCCTGTCACGGGGGAGTCACAGCAACTGCCCTGGAGGCCCTCACCAGCAGCGAAAAGGAAGCACAGCAAACCTCAGTGAACACATCCCGTGGCCACAGCCACTTTCTTCCTTCCCTCTGACACTTCTCAGCCTGGCTTCCCCGCACTGTCACCAAACCAGAGTCGAATCCCCTTAGCTCAGTTTGGAGGACTGGGGAGTGAGGACTGGTCCTAAGTCAGAGGAAACGGGAATGAGAAAGAACTTTGCAGAATACAGGTGTGTTCCACCCCTTCTCCTACCTTAGTGGGTTATCTGAGTGGGTCTCCATGTGGGTCTCCAGTCCGTATTTGCAAACAAACTCCTTGAAACATATGGGGCAGTGAAACACTTCGTCGACCTTCTCCAGCTCACCCGACTGCCCATCTTCTACCATCTTGGGGGAAAGGAAAAAAAATGAAGTCAGGAAGGAGCTCTCCCCCACGGGTCTGCTTCAGAAGAGAAGCCAATACTCAATCCACATCTACAAGGAGGCCTCCCTCCGAGGGATTAAGGAGGCGGCTTGACCAGTCCCTTCATCCCTGCAACAAATCCTCACTGGATGCTTCCATCCATCCTCCTTCAAACCACTCACCCATTCGATACACATTTATGGAGTACCCAGTATCTGACAGGGCCAGAGGACAAAAGCCTGGGGACAAGAGTTCCCTAATGTGTAGGAAGCTTCGACTCCAGCTGGAGAAACCAAGAAGCACAGAGCAATGAAACAAGCTCTTCATTCCATGGGGCTCAGCAAGGTGGTGGGGGTGTGGGGCACCCAGAGGAAGTGCACACAGGTTACTCTTTCCTGCGGACACCTTGCAAAACAGTGTGGGGAAAGACAGGTTAAAAGCTTAGGATGGATGTCTGCCAAGAGTCCCGTGGCTGGGCACATCGGCTCTGGGGCTGGCGAGACCTTTTTAGCAGGTGCTGGGTCTTCTTTCTCTGACTCGGCATCATGACTGAGTTTCCTCTTGGAGGACAGCCGCCTGCGCTTCAGCGGGGATGGGGGGGCCGTAGCTGTGGCACTATTAGGGTCCTTCTCGTGAATCTTCATATGTCTGGAAAGAACACGCACACAGACACATAGTGTGATTCGGTTAAAAAAAAAAAAAAGCAAAATTCGAGTTGGTTGATTTCTCTTAAATTTTCTGTATTATACGTTGAGGTATTGGTCTTTACATTTTCTTTAAGGTAAATGGTACATTTTGTACAGCGGTTGCTCTCTTTTCAAAGCCTTATACGATCTCCCGGAGGCCTTCCTTAAAGCTCTCACAAGCGCTACCTGCCAAAGTCGCTCAATGCTCTGCTATCTGTTTGGAAGATGCTCGCGAACTCCGCGGACGCTAGGAGATGAAGAAACCATCTGATTGCCTCTTCTACTTACTCAGATAAAAGGTGCTATTTCAGGGCACACAATTCTACAGAATAAAGAATTCCCGGACAGGACCAGTTCATACATCAAGTTCTTGCTCCGCATCTGCCCCCAGAACCCACCTCACAAATGCCAGGACTTTGTGTTCTCTCTCCCTCTGCTTTCAGAGGCACGTGGGGGCTCAAATTTGAGAAGTGCTAACACAGCAAACGTCTGCAGTGAACCTGAAAGGCTTTCCACGTCGTTCACGGCGTTACACGGATTTGCAGATGGTGAGAGTGGCTGGGGCAATGGCATGGGTACGGTGCATGTGGCGACCCTGACGTCTGCAGGGCCAGGAACGTGCATGTAAGAAAGCATCACACAGTCTGTCTGTCGGCTCTGAAGAGAGAGCTTGATGGGTGATCTGATTTAGGTGACCTCACTTCACCAAGTTCTAAAGCAAACACCCCCTAAGACACGGTCCCGAGACACGTAAGGTCAGAGACATATTGTAAAGGGACAGTGTCCCTTTCCTTACTTGGTGACGTAGAGGATTTGGGCTTCCCAATGACACTCGTCACCACCATCATCCGCTTTGTGCCGGATGCAGGAACGGAGTCCCAACTTTTTAGAAAGAGCGATTTCATAATATTACTGGGGAATAAAATTACTGGGGAACATTACTGGGATAATATTACTGGGGAAGCACTTAGGAATGGGAAAAGACAGTGAGGCTTTGAGAAATGGTCCGGCCACACTTCCTGAAAGCAGCGCAGGTCAGCTCCTCCGGTAGAGGGGACAAGCGGCGGATGACAGGCCTAAGCAGCCTGCCAACCAAAAGCAGGGGTACCAATTCTGGCGCGTGGGCCAAGGGTGCATGCAACGAGGTGACTGAGAGAAGGCCTTCCCTGCCCCCCCCACAACCCTGCCCTGAGCTACCCACAGTGTGTGGGGGTGAGGCCCCGGGCGTCTCCCGTTCTGTTCCACAGACATGTTCTAGGAGGTAGAGGGCACCCACACTAGCCATGACCGTCTATGCCCCGGCCCAGCACCGGCCCAGCACGATGGAGGTGGCCTCACCTTGGAGAAGCGCCTCAGGCCAAACCTCTGTTCTCTAGGTCAGTGTGGCGGAGCACGAAGGTCTAAAGGGAGAAAACGGCGGGTGCCTGGGTGGCTCGGTCGGTTAAGCATCTGCCTTTGGCTCAGGTCATGATCCCAGGGTCCTGGATGCGAGCAATGCATCGGGCTCCCTGCTCGTCGGGAGTCTACCTCTCCCTCCCGCTCTGACCCTCCTCCCTGCTTATATTCTCAACCTCAAATAAGTAAATAAAATTTAAGAAAAAAATAAAGAGATAAAATGGGAAAGAAACACAGACAACCACCATGGCCACGTCCACCTAATTCCTTGCTGAGATTACCGGGGCAAGATGCTTTATTACTAGTTCTTGGTCACCTAAAGCCCCAGGAAAGTTCTTAGGAACCACCAGCCTCGTTCTAAGTACCCTCCCTATTCCAGGCTGATTGGGATTTAGAGACCATCACTTACTATCAGCGTTTAGAGGGGAAAGGGAAAAGGCTAGCACGTTTCTTTTGATATTTATTATATCGCCTATTCCAATTGTAGAACTATTAAAGAAAAAATGTTTTAAAGCAACCAGAGGACTGAGGAAGTATGAAAAGAAAGTGCTACAGAATGTAAATTAGCACCAAACACTCTCAGTAAATCACTCAAAAATTAAAGATGAATTCCTCCCCTACAGCCGGTAGGTTACTTGTGCCCACGCACACGAGGCCACAAAAAACCTCAGGGAATACTGGAAATCTGAGACTGACAACCGTTAAGTGGCTGACTAGCTCACTTCAAGCCACACCTTTTCTTTCTTTCCTCTTTCTTTAGATTTTATTTATTCATGAGAGACACAGAGAGAGGCAGAGACACAGGCAGAGGGAGAATCAGGCTCCATTCAGGGAGCCTGATGTGGGACTCGATCCCAGGACCCCGGGGTCACGACCTAAGCCGAAGGCAGATGCTCAACCGCTGAGCCCGCCAGGCGCCCCCAAGCCACACCTTTTCTACCACAGGATCCGCATTTTTAGAAAGTGCTGCTTTATCATCTAGTTCTGGGCTGTGTGACAGGAGAGGTTTCACAGAGCAGAGGATGAGGAGGGATGGCCGTGGGCACACAGTGAGGACCTGGTGGGACGTTCACAGATTCCCGTTTGCACTTTGCAGATGAGGCTGCCGCAGCGTGAAGAGGCTGAGGGGCCCTGGGCCCTCACGACCAGGACGGACCTGGGTGTGTCGACTGCGGAGTCTGGGCTCCCCGGCTGCCCCCTAGAAGGCCTCCGAAGGCTTTGATCTGCCTTCGTTACCCCGGGCCTCCAGCCTGACGCCCACTCCCTCCCTGAGCGTCTGTGGTCCCAGGCCCAGCACCAAGCTCCAGCCAGACGTCAACAGGGAACGAGGGGGCCTCCGGTCCTGCCTCTGTCTTGTTCTGAAAACCTGGGTCATTGCTGCAGGCGGGCGAAGGGAGCGGATCAAGGCAGTCCCAATGGCCGGTGGCAGGTGAGCTAACCCCCTCTGGGTTTCTGACCGAGGCCTCTTGAGCCCCGGGTTCGAAGCTCCAGCATGCTCCCTGCTGGGATTAAATCTCGGGCTGTCGGCCAAGACACGGGGAGCTTCCAATCTGTCCCTTCGGCAACACAGCGACCAATAGCTGCAGGCTTGTGAACGTCACGCAACAGTTCAGCCTCCAGGGCCTGGGAGCACCGGCCCTCTCGCAGGTTGGATGTGTCCGCCGTTAAGGTCCTGCCTGACGTGACCCCTTTCCTTTGTCCCCAGCCTCCGGCAGGAGTGACAACACTAACTGTCCACTTCCTCCCGAACGCTCACAGGAAGTGGCGCATGTCACCAAAACGAGCCAGTGATGCCTCTTCCACCAAGGGGGGGGGGGGGGGCGGCCGACACACACAGGAGGGCTGGCGGGACGGCAGTCCTAGGTCCCCTCTTTACAAGGCCGGGTCTGTTCTCCTCTCAGGATGCATTTCAAGGACCGAATGCACCTGGTTCCCTGGGGCCCTGAGACCCTCACATGGGCAGGGAGCCGAGAGCGGCCCTCCCAGCCCACCGGAGAGATCAGCTTTTCCTTCTGCTTGGATACTTTTCTCCATTTTCAACGATGATAATTATTAAAGCCATCTTTCCCCATGTTGAGTCAAAAAAATCCCATCCTTCCTTTAAATGTCTACCTGTCCTCGGAGGCAACGTCGAACCAGCCTACATTCTCTCCTAGACGGCAGCTCTTCAATTAATTTCCAGATGATTGTCAGGTTTCTCCCAAGTTTCTCTTCCCCGGCCTGGACAAGCCCTGGCTCCTCCGGCCGGGCCCCTCAGGCCCTGCTCTCAACTCTCCTGAATTCCTCTAGCCACTACCTTGAGATGCGCTCCGGTTTGCAGATATCCTTCATGCCATGGCGGATCCGAAGGAGCGGAAATCTGGATGTGGTCTGAGGGCGCAGGGCAGGGGCGGCCACCTCTGCAGGCGGTGGAACCAGAGCTGGGGTGCCGCGTGCGCGCTCAGCAGTCCCACACCCTGAGGTCCAACTAAGATCCCCGTGACTTCTCCACTCCAGCTGCCATCGAGCCATGTCTCTTCCGCTCTATACTTGAGCGCTTTACGTCTTTTCGTTTGCCAGATTGGCAAGGATGAGAACTAAGCGGGGGTGGTGTGGTTCAGAAAACTGCTTCTCTCATGCCTTGTGGATGGGAGTAAAAATGGTAATGACCTCTCCGCAACGCAGCCGAGCAACTGGGAGCTCGATTTTAAGTACGTATGCCCTTTATGCCCGCAATTCCACCTCCAGAAAGTGGTCTCGAAGGTTAAGAGTCGAACAAATGTGCAAGGGTTTATGCACAAGGACTGAGGTACATTATAACTCACAGATGGATACGCTGCAAAAACTACAGGATGTCAGTCGGCTGGTCTCTATTTTGGACTGACCTCACCGATTTCCCCTCTTGTCCTCCTACCGTGCCTCCTCTACACCGCAGCCAGATGGAGCTTCTAGAATATGGATCACATCATACCACTCCCCTGCTTAAAGGCCTCTAATTCTGGCTCCCTCTCCTAGAATTAAATCTGGCCTCAGCCTATTTCTCAGGCCTCGCTGGTGGGTACCCTATCCTGATCCCAAGGCCCTCTCAGACACTCTAGTTCTCTCTGGGTTCCTCAAACTCATTCAACAAGTCTGGCCCCGGGCCAGTACGCTTGCTGCTCCTTGCTGCCGGGGACCGCTCGGCCTCAGAACCCTAGGCCGGCACCTGCCATTCACGCTCCGCGGTAAGCATCCTACCCTGCTCATGCAGAGGCTCTCAAGCCCACAACCCTGTTTTACCTTCTTCACAGAACATACCAGAAACTGAAAATCCTGTGTATGTCACCTGTCTGACCGTCTCCACGGCCTCAATCGAAAGTAAGTTTCATTATAGCCCCGTCTCTCCAGTTCTCTGCACCGGCACATAGCAGGTAGTCAATAAATCCCTGCCAAATGGCTGGATGGCTGGACAGATGGAGGCATGAAGTGCACGCACAAAACCTGTCCACCTGCAACATCCCTACAACCATGATGTCAGCCTCCAAGAAACCTCATAATTAACAATCTTACTCGGGTTAATAATGTGAGCAAACTCGATACACATGCAAA